AAGCACCCCCAGCCCCAGTCCCAGCGGCTCCGGCCCGGCTCGGCTTGGGCCCCCGTTCCGGCTGAGCGGAGCCGGCCGGCGGTGGCATCTGAGCTTGCAGCTGCCTCCTCCTGGGCTCCGGCTGCTGCTGCGCTGGGGAGAGCGGTGGGAGCCGGGAAAGTTGGAGCCCACGGAGGAGGCGGTCCCCTTACCATGCCTCCCTATTTTCCTGGACATGTCCCGCTTTTTGGAAATTCCTCCCAGACGGGAATTTGAGGACCAAAAAGCCGGACATGTCCGGGAAAAGCCGGACATATGGTAAACCTAGTTACCATCCACCACGTGGGTAGGATCGACTGCCAAGATGGATGTGTGTAGGCTGTTTTCAATCCTTTTTCTCTCGGGGCTTTATTCCTGCTCCAAAACAGACAATGCTTTGGGTGAAGCCGACACTCTGACTGTACGCACCATGGTCACAGATTCCCAAAGGGAAGGACCCCAGGTGCTGAACCTAGTCGGTCCTGTTGGGTAAACGTGGTTGTCACAAAGGGTGCTGTAGCCCAGCGCCCAGTCTCAAGAGTGGGTGAAACGGCTGATTCCACCCCAGGAGTGGTGAATGCAGGAAGCCTGGTGCCTGAGGGGACGCACTCGGAGAGACCAGAAAGGTGAAAGAGCGGCAGCCAGCCCTGTAACTGGGATATCATCTAGCTCTCAAACTATCACCGTGGAGTAGGCTGTAATCTCCTGGAATGCCATTTGCCTGCCTTGACAATAGAAGGTCGTTAGCTAACCAGGACACCTATATTAGGCAATAGGATAATGGATTCCGACTGGAATAGCAGGGCATCTTTTCCACTTAAAACAAGACACACTCATACAGCAGGAAGCCAGCAAGGACAGACTGTCAGCGGTTACCAACGTGGGGCACAAAAGGATCTTTGGTTACAAGAGAATGAAAGGGTTCCTGTAACTGCCCCTGGCAGTAGGCCATCCTGGGGGGCCTTGGGGCCAGGCAACCCTGAGCAATGTTGAGTGTTTAAATTTGTTTGTTTGTTCTCTGTTTGTTCCCATGCTTGTAACTCTTTACATAAAACTTGTTTTTAAGAACTGGCTTGTCTTGGACAATTTACAGTTTTCTGTCTGAGGAGAGAGGACTCCTCAGGGACCCTCATGCAAAGGCCTGCAAGTTAACAACATAAGCATCTGCCCTCGTTTCAGTCCAGAAGAACGGGGAACATAGTAGGAGTGAGATGCAAAAGACAAAAGTAGCAGAGAGGAAGAACAGCTCAGTGGTTAGGTTGCTAGCCTAGGACTTAGGAGACCTGGGTTCAAGTTTCTGTTCTAATATAGGCTTCCTGTGTGACCTTGGGTACCTCCCTTAGTCACTCTGTGTGTCAGTTCCCCCTCTGTACGGTGGGGAGAACAGAACACAATACCTCACAGGGTATTATGAGGATGAATACATCAAAGATTGCAAGGTGCTCAGATTCTACACTGATGGGGCACTGTATAAATACCGCTTTCCATCAGGCACCTGGAAGATCAAGGTGAAACAGGCTGAAAAGGTCACATGTGACTACATAGAAGTGTCCTGATTGCCAATGGGATCTGTGGACCTCAGCGTTCCTGAAAATGTGGGGTTCTGATTATTTCTTTTTCATCCTGTGGATTCACATTTGATCCTTCTCATTTGCCTTTGTTGAGACAGTTTCATTAATAATTTGTACTCACAGAGTCAGGGACAGGGCTAACTCCAGGCACCAGCTTGTCAAGCAGGTGCTTGGGGCGGCTGCTCCAGAGAGGGGCGGCACGTCCAGGTATTCAGCAGCAATTCAGCGGACGGTCCCTCACTCTGCCTGGGAGTGAAGGACCTCCTGCCGAATTGCCGCCGCAGATCGCGATCGCGATCTCGGCTTTTTTTTTTTTGGCTGCTTGGGGCGGCCAAAACCTGGAGCCGGCCCTGGTCAGGGAAAGGGAATTCCTTCGCCCTTTCAAGTTTTTCACTTGATAACCAGAGAAAACTGGAATTTACTGTGAAGGTGCCAAGAGAGAATTGTCTCAGATGGCATTCTGGGGTTTACTAATGACCGAGTTTAACAAGTTTAATCAGCCGTGTGTGTAAACAACTAAATCATGAAGACATCAAGAGAAGACAACTGTGGCTTGGGAAAGGGTTAATTGGAAAAGGCAGGGTTCAGAAGATGATAGAAATTGTGCTGCTGTGTTGAGATGGGAATAAACTGCACTCCTGCATTTGAATCTGCCTGGAGTTTGGATCTGAATCAGACCTTGGTGGGTAACTCCTCTTTATAACAGGCCAAACCAAACCCCTGACATTTGGGCAGACTGAATCCAAACATAGGGACTCGTCTTATCTCTGCCCTCATGGTATGGTCAGCAAATGGAGAGCTTCTGATAACATAATGCTTCTTACTGGAGCTTCATTGACTGCGTCTGCAGCGATTTGTGCAGGATGGAGTTATTTGAGTAGCTGAGCACTTTTCCTCCAGCAGGTGCAGTTCACTGCAGCTCTCATTAAACCCAGTTATTAATTTTTTGCTAGGACTACACCCCATAGCACAGTGTTTCTCACCTGGTGGGCCACCAGCAAGCCTTTGTGGGGTTCCCTGATGCTGTACCTGCAGCATAATGCCTTGCCTTAGGCTAAGAGAGTTGAATGCTGGTGTACACAGGTACAAGGAAGTGGAGGAAAGTGCAAAGCACAGGAAGTGGAGGGCCCCTGGTTGCAACAGCCTGGCTTATTTATTAGCCTTGTAGTCCCAAAGCCTCTTCCCAGCATGTGGCTGGATTTTTTAATTTGTTCATTTAAAAAAAAATCCCATATCCAATAAACCATTATTTAAATAAAGTGTCCCAAAGCCTACTCATAGCCCCAAGGAGCTGTACTGATTGGCAGGGGATAGCCCCTCCTGTTTACCATAGCCACACTCTCTGCTCCATGGTACCAGGGACAGCACTGGAGCTGCTACCACCTGCACTACTGGAGGTTCCCCAATGCTGGAGGAATCAGCCCCTGACCCTTTAAGCCAGGTTTAAGGCTGCTTTGTGCTGCTGCGTGAGTATGGCTAAGGATGTGTCTTTAAAGTAAGGACTCACATAGTGCCATACTGACCCAGTGCTGGACTGCTCCATCCTAGAGACCTTTAAGTGAAGGCCAGGCAATAAAACTGTTAAGCCGCGGCAAAGGATGAGAGAATGTATCAGTGATTTAAAGGTTAATTAACATGGCAAGAATATTGCCATTATTACAAAAAAGCCCCAAACATTAGAAACCCAGGAAATTCAGAGTGAAGATGAAATAAAACTGTACATTTCCATGTTCTCAGTTGTTTGGGTTTCTGTTAAGGCACCCAATAAAGCAATAAGCAAAAGACCCTGTGGGGGCAAAAACATTTAAAATGGGTAATTTTTGCTTACGTAGCAAATAAATATCTGTAATCCAGCACTTTCCAAATGCTCAGTAAAAGACAAAGTCTCATACCCTATTGTAAGCTTCCCAGATGTCAAACCAATTGGTTAGTTCAATCAACAGTTGGAGGGAGATAAGAAGTAGAATGATTTATTTGATGCTTGCTAAGCAAATTCCCCAATCGGAGACATCATGAGAAAATTCAGGAGGAAATTTATTACTTTTCTATCCAGAAAGTTAGAAGGCAATTTAAAAAAAAAAGGAGCACATAAAGGAAAACTACCTACAACTTTAATTACTTCTTGTTTCATGGCCACTTTGAACAATTTTATTGAGTCCCATTTTCAAAATGAATGTAGGTACCTAGGAGCCTAAATCTGCTTGAAAGTCAATGGAACTTGGGCTCCTAAGTGTCTGAGTCACTTTTGAAAATGGGACTTATTTTACTCCATATTTTGTATACAACTTTAGCTACACACATATGTATTATAAACTAGATCAGTAAATGTCATTTTAAGAACATAAGTGCCCTGCAGAAGTGCTCCATGAAGCTCGAAAGCTTGTCCCTGCCACGTACAAAACTTGCTGCAATAAAAGATACTGCCTCACCCGTCTTGTCTCTCTTTTATGAACAGAAGCTGTAACAAAGAAGAAAAAGAAAAAAAGCTACTTACATTTATCCAAAGTCATAGCAAAAAGTACGCTTCTGGATGTGTGCTTTCAGCACATGATGGAATTAATACAGAAATGCTGCTCTGTATGTGTGCAACAAGTAGTTTTCAAACAAAGGCATAACATTTCCCTATCATACCTTTCTTTCACACTTGCCAATCACAGTCCTCCCTGGGGTTCTGGACACACGCCAACTTTGCAGATTGATTGTTGAAAGCATGAAAAATGCAGTCGGGAATAAGGACACTAAGTAAAGAAACTCACCTTTCTGGTTCAATGTGCTGTCTTTTTTGTTTTGGATTCGACTGGGTTTTGGGCGAAGTTTGTCTGGTTACAGATTACATGAGAGAGTAAAGTCCAGACGGTTACAGCTCACTCTCATTCCTCAGCTTCATTGACCTTTACACCCTCCCTCCCCCAGGGCCGGTGAAAGGAAGTTTCACACTTCCACCTTGCGCCCCCCCCCCCCAGCCCTGCGGCAGCTCCCCGCCCCCCCTCCACCCTGAGGTGCCCCCCCCGCGGCAGCCCCGCCCTGAGGCACCCCCCCACAGCAGCTTCCCACCCCCCAGCCCGGGGATCCATGCGGCAGCTCTGACCCCGGGGAACCCCTGGGCTGCCAGCGGCGCACTGACCAGGGGAACCCCTGTGCTGCCTGCCGGCGGCTCAGACTCCCTCTCCCTCCCAGCGCAGCGGCCGCTGTAAAAAAAAAAAATTCGGGGCACCGCTTTTTGACGCCCCCAAATTTTGGCGCCCTAGGCAACTGCCTAGTTGGCCTAAATGGTAGCACCGGCCCTGGCCTTCAGTCAGACCTATACACGGCATTGAAAGCTGTGGTGTTGCATGGCTTCAACTAAGTGCACAACTTAGTTCAGTGTATTTCAAATACAAAGTCGCCAAAACTCTATAAAGATATAGTCATTCATTTCTCCTGGACAGCTGCTTTAAATCCTTTCTGTGTTTGTAGACTGAACAAGTGCCTAGAGGTTTGTTTCTCAGTTTCATTTGTAATCTTCATCCCATTAACATACATTAGCTATGACACAGTTATAAAGAAGGCATCCAGCACATTGCGGGGGGGGGGGGGGGGAAATGCCAGAAATAACTAGAGGTGCAAATGGATGAAGACATACCTCTTCTCTAACGAGAAGGGCAGAACACTGCAATGGGACGCCCATCATCTTGTGGGGGTTCCAAGTCACAGAATTGGCCCTACAACAAAACAACATTAAACTGAGATGTTATACCACAGGTCTGAATCATTAAAACATTCAGTAATAAACAAGAATAAGGCTCATATGGGCCTCAAAGATGCAAGCTGAAAATATGCACAGCGGTTTTCAGAAGAGTGATTATTGATGTTCATACAGGACCCCAAAGGCAGTGCTAGCCCATTGGTGGGCCCTAAGCAGGAATATTTTGGTGCCCTTCCCACATACAGCACATACTAAAAAGTGACTAGGGGCCTTCTTGAACTGCTCGGGGCCCTAACCAGTTGTTTAATCTGCGTATGCCTAGCACTGGCTCTGCAGGACCCAATTGTAGAACCTTTACTCACGCTGTGGGGCACTGATATAAATTTACACAGGCAGATTACTCATCAAAGTAAGGATTTTTGTAGAGTTAGCCCTAAAAGGTTCTGGACTACGGCTCTGGAGAGTTAACACAGAGCCATGGTGCTATACATTAGATTTTGTGAGCACCAGAATTTCTTGTGATCCATCTACACTTTAAAGGCAAAGAGTGAATGTGTCAAAAACACGTATGTGATTTAGGACCAGTCTGCAAAGGTGTTTAGGCAGCTAAGATGCAGATAGGTGCCTAGTGGGATTTTCAAAAGCGCATAACAGGTTTGGTATCTAATTCCCACTTGATCCCATCAACTTGCTGATGCAAAATGATCATGGTAGTGAATATGGCATTATCTCAAAATGCTCTTTCATGCGCTCGGCCATTTATCTTGGTTACCAAGATGCCAGAAGCTGCCTTAGAACGTTAGTCAGCGAGCTGAAATACTTACTGGCATGCATTGACTCAAGCAGGAAAAAAACACCAGGTCCTATGCCTGTTGGATTGATATAATATGCTCCTCAAGATACTGTGACACAGGAAGAGCGATTCATTGGCACAGCAAAAGCTATGCTGCTAACTAATCACATCACTGCAAATGGCTTAGAAAGGGTGAGAGGAGCTGGTAGTGGGGATTCAAAAATGTTTTGGGGAGTTTAGTTCCCTTTATTTAGGGTTTTGCAGGTTCTTTAATAAATCACTTAAAAGTAAGATTTTCTTTTTTTTTGTTTTGAAAGGCTAACAAGTCTTCAGAGATTTTTTTAAAAAGAAGCAAATAGTGGCCTGGCATGGCTTGCAGAAGGTTGAGATTGTATCCAAAAGATCACATCTTGTTATACATGTGAGAACATTTGGAAAAGTATTTTTTAGACCACAGCGAAGATGAAGAAGAATGTGTAGAAATCCCAAGTTTCAAAAATGGCTAATAAAACCAATCAAATACCTGTTTAACATACATAAAGGTTGATTTGTGCCTCCTATCTTCAGACCTGGGCAAGTTTGAGAATTGGGTCAACAGGAGGCTAGAAACACAGCTCCAAAAGTGGATACAAGCCTAGTGAAAACTAGAATGAACGACTAGCCTGGGTTCCAAGATTGCTCTCTGGATATGATTGCCTGAGCTATAATGTACATACATTTATTAAGGGTATGCATAATAATCTGCCAAATGGGCTAAATGAGCTTAGAACTATGTTCATTCCTTGCTGTATAGTTCTTTGTATTGAGCTATAATCTGCTTCCTGGTTTCCCCAGAGAGAGAGAGAGTGTGAGAAGAGTGTGTGTGTGTGTGTGTGTGTGTGTGTGTGTGTGTGTGTGTGTGAGAGAGTGAGAGAGAGAGAGAGGCCTAGGGCAGGAAGAGGATGTCTTGCACTCCTCTTATTCCACTCTGCAGGAGCATTATATGGGCTACAATTTGGACCAGAACTTGGCTCTTATTCAGCTCAGCCGTAAACAGGGTCAGTTTTTGAAGACACAGATAACTGCAAGTACATTTTTGCACCCACAGTTAGTTGTGACCACTATTCAGGTCACTTTGATCTTTACATCCTGGATTGCATCTGCAAAGCTGAATCTGGCTCCCCCAGGGTTTTAAGGAAAGCAAGTTGCTGGCAGGACACTCTCTGTCAGTGGCCCTTGACTGGAAGTCCTCCTGCTCTGCCAGGTACAAAAGAGACTGAATCTGCTGACTCAAGGGCAGGCTGCAAAACCCATCTGTTTGCATGGGTGTAGAGGGAGCACAAAGCGGGTGGGTGAACATTAAAGGATTGAGGTTGTGGGAAGGGTGGAGTGATGAACTGTTCAGTTGTTCATTGTTTTATTTTTGTGTTATGCTTGACTTGTTATTTACTAATTGCAGGATTTATACTTTGGAGGGCTGTTGAAGATGCCTACGGCACAGGATTGTGCTCTTTCTTGCTGTGGTAGGGTAGGGTTACCATAC